CTCTCTCTCTCTCTCTCTCTCTCTGTGTGTGTGTGTGTCTGTGTGTGTGTGTGTGTATATAATTAGCTGTGGCTTACAAACCACAGTGAATGGATTACTCATCAACTAAGCCAGAAACAAACATATTACAGCTGAATACGATACATGAACCCAAATGATGTGTTGCTTACTAATGCTGACTTCTTTTCCTATAGGTATGAACTCCACATGTACACATCCTGCCTTCCCTGGTTACTGCCCATAGAAAGAGTTTGCAAGCCTGGACCTATTGAAGTGAGATACAGCGGAGAGAACCAGCATTCCAGTGTGAGTGACCTTCAGCCTTATACAACCTACAAACTGAGAGTGGTGTCCTACAATTCAGTTGGAAGCACTACTTCAGAATGGATCACTGTTACTACTGAAAAAGAGGGTGAGTTTCTACAGACAAAAATAAGTATGCATTTGATTTCCATCACTTTTCAGAGTGCTGTTTCTTGTCATAGCCAGTAAGGGCTGAGCCTGCATAATTCTTAGAACAGTATAAGAGGCTACATAACTGATGCCCTACATAGCAATCAAAAACCTTCATCAGTTTTTCCTTCTAATAAGACTTTTTGATAGCTGGGTTTTCAAAAATGCTATTAACTTCTGTCTGCTTTTTTAAAATGGACAGATGACTGAAAATGCCCAATTAATCTTACTACGTTCTGCAGTTTATAGTAAACAGATTTGTTTGTTCTTTGCAAAAGTTAAACGTGAGTATAAATGTGAAATTGAAAAATTAAAAACCAAAAAGTTTAGCTGCTTACATGGTTTCAAGACTATGCAGCTTTTGTGGTAGCTTAAGGGGCTGTGAAAGCAGAAGTCTTCACTTATCCTCAGCTGGCATGGAAGTAGCAGACACACTATCAGGAAGAAGTGAAGCCAAGGGATCCAATGTGGTAGTTTCATATTAGCTTTCTTCACTATTGCTGAAGCATATTTTCCCACAGTTAGAAATAAAATTAAACAAAAGCAGTTGAAACAGGACTATATTACCCACCTGAGTTTCTCTCTAGCCAGTCTCCTATAATCTGATTCAGCATTGAACTTCATCCAATAAAAGTCTCTTAGAATAATAATTAAAAGTTTTGTTGCTAGGAGCTTAGGTCGTTCTTTTTTTTTTCCAATTTCTTTGATTGGTTCAAAACATTATCATCATCATCATCATCTAAAAAACCAAGGTCACTACTTGATACATTTTCTTCTTTGTTTAGCACAAACTCATGAGAAATTTCTGTCACCTTATTTTCCTATTACATGCTAAAGATTAGCTTTTTGATTGTGCAATGATGAATTAGATTTTTGATTTTTGATTTTTTGGTAGAAAAAAACACTAGTTTGGTCTAGTGGTTAAGGCACCAGGCTAGAAACCAGAGTACTGTGAGTTCAAGTCCCGCCTTAGGCATGAAATCCGGCTGGGTGACTTTGGGCCAGTCATGCTCTCTCAGCCCAACTCACCTCACAGGTTTGTTGTTGTGGGGAAAATAGAGGAGGGAGGAGTAGGTATGTTCACCGCCTTCAGTTATTTATAAAAATAAGAAAGGCAGGATAAAAAAAAATCTTTAAAAATTAATTAAATAAACAAATTAGGCGATTGATTGATTGGTACAATGTATCATACTGGATTATTGTGAGCCTTTTTACCTTTGAATAAATGCTTTGAGAGGAAAGCATTCTAAAAAATGTAGAAAAATGTACTTTCTAAGAAGTATAGAAAATTTGACGAGAGCAGAAAGAATTTCACTATCATGGATGAAGTTTCTTAAATATTGGTTCACTATAAACAAATATATATTTATTACTATTGAAGTTAACTATTTTACTTTCCTGTCACATTTATGGAATATTCCCAGTTATTGCAATTGTAGTCAAAGCTCAACCCTTTTCAGATTCCATTCAGATTCAATTCAACCCTTATCAAGGGTTGTTTGTTAGAAATTCCAATGATTTGGGGGAAAATGAGGGGGGGGATGTGAGAGAAAGGACACACAGCAAAGAAATGGCTTGCTCTCCCTCCTCTACCCATGCCTTATTTGGGGTGCTGGCTCTTTAAAAATAGGGCTTGACTGAAGATGAAGTGTGGTAGTGGTGGAAAAAGGAAAGGAAGGAAGGAAGGAAGGAAGGAAGGAAGGAAGGAAGGAAGGAAGGAAG